TGTTTAAAAAGCTGAGGATTCTAGGAGATATGAGGACTGCTCTCATGACTGAATCAATCTATGCATAGGTTAATGGTTTATCTCCTGAGTGGGTCCCCTGTATAGCCAGTTTAGCTGTTGGTTTTTTTTATGTACCCCTTTACAGAGCATTTTCATTAGTAAGAAGGCTCCAACTAGATGTAGCCCCTCACCCTTGTACCTCCTGGCTACAGAATCAAGATTTACATAAACCTTTATGCTTTGTAATTACCCAGTCGGATGTATTTATATTTAGCAATAGAGAAAGGACCAAGATACCGGAGCCCAAAATAAAATTTTAATATCATTCTTACAAAAATCATCATGTTTCCCTTATGCCTTTGTTGTTTGCCAAGCTATTAACACATTTGATTGCTTAGTCTCTATTTTTGCTGTAGAGACTACTCTATTTTTGCTATGAAACTACGGGCTCTATCAAAGCCAAATTAAAAATTAACATAGATCATGTTGCATCTTTACAGCCAGTATTCATAGATCACCTCCATTCTCTTCCTACAACACACTGTAGATTTGCCATTACAAATGCTAATAATCTCACACCAGCTCACCCAATTCCCTTATATTGCCTCAGTTTCACTACAATCCACTTTCAAACTTTTGTGTTTACCAATTCTTACTTTATTTCATCAAGTGAACCCATCCATTTATGCATTTAAACCTATTAATTTCCATGTCTATCTAGATTTTTCCTGTTTAAAGTTCACATGCTCTCTTCTCTATTCTCGTACTATATACACTTTCAAGCCTCACCAGTGCTGCACAGTACTCAGCTGTTGCCTTCTCTCGTTCTTACCTTTTTGCTACAGTATTTGCAATGGCCCTAAAAATTCAGTAATAGCCAAGTCTAATGTCTCTCTTAGTTTTATTCTATTTTTTAAAAGTTAACAAATTATATGTTTCCCAAAATAGTCTCTTAATTCTGACAATTATCTGTCAATATTTTTGTCTACTATCTCTTTTACTCATTTCTTATTTCTTTGAGTTCTACTCTTGGGCAGTTTATAGAAGGTCTGAACTGTAAGACACAAGCCTACCATAACCATACCTACTTATGCTAAAGACTGTTATTTAAATCAACTCCTGGATTTCTCTGCACAGATATTTCAAAATCATGCCATGGTTCAATGCACAATTTTCTCCACAAACCTGATACTCTTCTGTTAGTATTTCCTATTTTTCCCAGCCACCTAATCTCTTATATCTAAAGCTTTGGTACCATTTTTCTTTAACTCTCATCCTATATGGTATACGACTTGTGGTTCTATCAGATTCTACTGCACAAGTAATCTCTAGAATCATTTCACTCTTTTCCATTTCATGGCCAATACTCACATTCAGGTCCCCATCTCTTTTCCCTTCAAACAAGAAAGATGTTCCTATCTGATCTCTGTACTTCGAATCCTACTGCCTTCATGAACCTTCCAAAATTACCATCAGAGTAAAGAGTATATTCACTGTTTTGCATTCCCAGTAGAGTTGGCACAGTTCATAGAACACAGAAGTGGTCAATTATTATTAAAAGAATGAATATATTTCTCTAAAATACAAATATCATGTTATTCTTGCTAAAAACACCTTCAAGGCCACCCTTACTCTCTCTTTCTCTCTCTCTCTCTCTCTCACACACACACACACACACACACACACACACACACACAAACACACTCAAATACAGTGCTATTTCAGCTGTAGAACTCAATTTCCTCCAAAATCATGTTCAAATTCTGAAAAATTCATGTACTGAACACATTTTTCCCACAAGAAATAATGAAAATCAAATAATTGTCTCTGAGGTTCCAAAATTACACTTATAAATTCATTTTTACAGGACTTTAACAAATTTAACAAATGTTGCAATGGTTTCTTTAATTCCATCCTGATTCTTAGTATGCTGCTGATATCACTTTCCTCAGAGCCATGGTTACAATATTTTATGCAAATAAAGCACCAAAAAAAAGAAGGCACAATGATATAAGTTTAACCTCACTAACACAAACACTACCTGTTGTGTGGGTGAGAACAACACTTGGACTGAAGCATTACCTCTGCAGATGTGATGTGTGACTCACTCAGCCCATACATGTTTTTTCAAATAGGATTTTTGGTTTGACTTTCAAGCAAAACACTGATCAGATTTTTTTTTTTTTTTTGAACTGTGCTGTCCTAGTAGTGGAAAGTTTGAGCTTGGAGTCACTGTGTTGTAGGCAGCTGAGTTAGTCAGAAATACTACAGGCAATGAGACAGGGCTAGGTCCTCTGAGGAGTCAGTGCAGAAGCCCAGATGTGTTGCAACTATAGGGGAGACAGATACCTCCTGCCGTGGGCCAGGCCTCAAGACCATAGACCAAGCAAATACACGCATATCCTAAGGACTAATATTCTAAATAGTCCTTTATCACTCTGAAGAAGTCAGGAGTTACATTCTAACCCCACCGCCCATGCCTGCTTTCTACATGACTCGC